TTCTAATTTTCTAATGTGCCTTGGATATGTGCCAAATGATGGAAGAGAAACAGTAAACTTTATGATTCTTGAACGTGTCATGGTATTTTTTTTCCCAATACTGGGGATTGAACCCAGGGCCTCATGCATGCTAGGCAAGTTCTGTACCAAGCCATATCCCCAGTCCCATGGTATGCTTTTTTAATGTTTTGTGATGGAGATTTGTTTCTCAGCCCCTCTAATAAACATATGCTTTGTGTGTGGAAAAATGGTCCCCCTTGGATGGATGTATATTTTGTCAGTTTTAGATGTGACTGAAACACTTAATTTGACCAAACAGATCAGATCATTATCCACCTACCTGACCAGGGCTGACTTAATGCTGTAGGTGCTATGCTGAGGGACCACAAAAATGTTTTCTTTTAAAATCAAAATAATAAATACAATACAGCTTTCTAGTACAAACACAAATGAACACTGTTGCTTTACCAATTTATTAATTTTTCTTCTCTTTCCTTTTTTAACCAAAAGAACATTATTAACTTAAATTGCTGTGGTCTTTTATCATACTAATTAAGAAACTATGTCATGTAATTTATTGGCATAGGCATTCTCAATATGCATACATGTACATGTGCTAGTAACTAATTTTATGGATGGTGCAGTATAATTTTGAAAATGCTTTGATGTATAACCATTTTTTAAGAAATATTAAGTGAATTTACTCAAATGAAGGAAGTTTAATGATACAGAAATAATAATATTTAAAACAAAAATATTAAAAAACATTAAAATAAAAATAAATCTGCATACAATAAAAAGTGAATATAAATTAGCCAACTCTATGGACATTTCCAGTTTAACATTCATACAAACATATACTCACCTTTTTCTTTATAGAGATAACACATATGTACATGATGTGAAATTCTGACAAAAAAATCAGAACTTCTAACAACATTTTCAAGTTTTAAAAATAGTATGGAAAATGTTTCAACCACATTCTACATGAATGTAAACCTCTGATTTAATTTCATGATTTTATCATGCCAGAATGAATCATGGTTGGTTTTAAGTTTTTTTTTTGGCACTGGGATTGAATCCAGGGGTACTTAGTCACTGAGCTATATCTCCAGCCCTTTTTATTATTTGTTTTGAGACATGGCCTCCCCTAAGTTGCTGAGGCTGGCCTTAAATTTGTGATCATCCTGCCTCAGCTTCCCAAGTGGCTGGGATTGCAGGCATGTACCACCATGCCTGGCAGGTTTTTAATGTTTTTAAAAACAGATATTGGTATCATAACACATTGGCTTATTAATAATTAAGGCATTTGTTTACACAGTATCTCAGTATGGACGAAAATTTTTAACGTTATTTACTATGACATTTTAAACTTTGAAAGTCTATTCAACATTAATAGCTGCACACATACGAGTGGTTTTTATAAAACAATAAAAAATTAATGATAATTAGTCTTTATAGTTCCTAGTCCTGTCTTATTTTTTCACATAGTATAAATTATATTCTCATGGAGGACTGCATTAGGACCAGTAGTTCTTAAATGTTACCAGATAACCACATAAAGCCCAAATGCAGCAAAGGCAAACAGTCTTTGTGGTGCACTTTCATCTCATTGAAGTTGAAGCTGTTCGTTTTGGATATTTTTCCACTTCAATGTGAAGTAGATTGTTTCAGGGTTTTCATTAGTGGTTTCATTATGTGGCTTTTTAAAAGAAAAAAATGGTTTTAATTTCTTCCACACTTCACAGTTCTCAGATCAATTTTTGGAAATCATATAGTTCAAGATGTTTTGAGTAACTAAATGCTCTTTAGTAGACAAAATCTCTCAATTCAACTATAATAAATAAGCATCTATATCCTTAGCTATAATACCACTGTATCCTGGAACCAAAGTAAGATGTTTTTCTTGTTCTTACAGGCCACTTAGTTGTTTTAAAATCCTGAATATTTCCATCATTTATAATTTTTTGAGTGATAGTTCTGACCACTTTTTTATTACAGCTTGAAGCCAGTTTAAACCAACTATCACATATTCTTCAAATTTGCTTTTAAGTAATGACTTTACAAGAGGCAACAAGTCTACACAGCAGCCAAGTGAGATCTATTGTTTTTCTTTCTGTAAACCATTAATACAGGCAGGCAATCTACCTCAACTCCAAGATCTTCTATCCTCCCCAAATAAGTTACAAGTTCACTTACACTTCTCCAGAAAGTTAAAGCTACACTCAATCTCAAATTCCTGCTGAACCAAACTTAGGCCATTGTTTCATGATCCTGAGAAACCACAGGAAAAAACCCCACCGTATTTAGATGATGGATTTTCTGTGAAGAACCAGAATCACTGTGGAGTTAACCAAGTATCTTCAACTATCATGGCTATAATTTTTCATGCAGGTGGGCTGCACAAGCCAGTTCATTTTATTTGCCATATCACAGCCCTCACTTATAGGGGACTATTTTTTTCTGTAATAAGGATTTGGATAAAGATGTTGGACTTTTTTTTTTTTTTTTTGGTGATGGATCACCTTTCAAAATTTATCTGGACTTCACAGCTTGTCCAACTGTTGTATTTATATAAACAGCCAACTATTCCGGAGATTTCTTAACCTCCTTCATATTCTTATTAGTGAATTTTTAGATCTGTTTTCTAGGATGATCAATGGAATGATCCTCAATATTACAAACGTTCCATTTTTTAACATTGTGAGTTTCAGATGCCATAATCTCTTCAATATGGGCGCCTCACGGTACCTCCGTGCCTCACCCCCGTGCTGGCACTGGCAAATAGCCACTGGACAGCCTAGGCCAGGCCCCATATCAGTCATTCAAACGCCGCTGCGCTGCCCACCATAATAGCGCCCTCCTATGGGCGTCTCCTGATGCATAATCATTTAATTCTGTCTCACTGAATAGAATTGGCAAGCCAGGAAACAGGTTCAGAGAAACAAGGGACTGATTTGCTTGAGATCTGAGGGTCAAGGTCAAATTGGCAGTGGCACCTGAATTGGCTGTTTCAAGCTTGGTGTGCTCTTCATCTGGAGAAAAAGTCCTGAATGAAACCGTCTGTCTTTGGGGAGTTTCCTTTTGAGCTATTGCAGTAAAGTAATTAATAGTAGGAGCCATCTCAATTGACTAGCTCATTACACTTCTGTTTTTCCACTTGTTTCCTAGCTTGAAAGAAAAAATAATTTTACAGTTCACAAATAAGTAATGCCTGAATTTCTATTTCTGTGTAAGTTTTGAGTACAAAGGATTGCCAGCTCACTGACTTACTTAAAAGTTTAGAATAACCACTCCTCACTTCTTAGCAGTATTCTCCACCCTTTGTGCCTTCAATAACTTCTATCCTTGTATACACAATCACTTTCCATTCTCAAGTGTCTTTGAAAGGAACATCTGACAATCTTTAAACACATTCACATCGTAGTTAGAATTAGGACACGGGTTATTCTGAACAAGAAAATGTAACAAAACTTGCTAAGAATTATATAATGTGCTGTTAGCATTTTTTTTCTTATTTTTTTAGTTGTAGACGGACACAATGCCTTTATTTACGTGGTGAAGACTGAACCCAGTGCCTCACATGTGCGAGGCAAGCACTCTATCATGAGCTACAACTCCAGCCCCTGCTTTTTACATGTTTATGTCAATGAGGTCTAAAGCAAAATCTATAAATGGGTTCTCCCAAAATCCCAGAAGATTTTGACTACAATTCTATTCCTTAAAAGAAAAATAAAAAAATTAATTTTCTTAATGGTTATAACTCATTTATTCAGAAATTAGACACTTATTCCAACACTTTTCTTTTGTGGTGCTGGGGCTCAAACTCAGGACCTCCAGGATGCCCTCTACCACCGAGCCACACCACCAACCCCTATGATGACTTTGTTTATTATGGTTACAAATTTCAAATATTGTAAAATCTCAAATATAGTTTAAACATGAGCAGTATGCTGTGTTTAAAGCCAACTTGGACTGTAAACCACATTTCCCACTGCTACCAATCCTATTCATCTCATTAAGTGTTGTGAATTCACTCCTGGGCTTAGTTTCGTAGAACTAAGGCGTTTAAAAGATTACATCAAAGAGCTTAGTTATTAAAGTTTATGATCTAAATGTATGAGAGAAGGTTTTATTTTTTTAAAAATATTTTTATTTGTTATGAATGGACCTTTATCTATTTTTTTAATATGTGGTGCTAAGAATCGAACCCAGTGCCTCACACATGCTAGGCAAGCGCTCTACCACTGAGCCACAACCCCAGCCCAAGAGGATTTTCATAACCTAGTGCAAGTAAAGCTCAGTATGAGATGACATCTGCCTTAAAATCATCTGCAGCTTTATTAGTAAAAAACTCAAAAACATTTCTACCAAAATGTAACTGCTCAACTCAAACTAGATTTTAATCATTAAAGTCATTTATCTTGGAGCTGGGTCGTAGCTCAGTGGTACAGTGCTTGCCTAGCATGTGTGAAGCATAGGGTTCAATTCTCAGAACACTGCATATAAATAAATAAATAAATAAAGACCCATTGACAACTTAAAAAAAAAATTTTTTTTACAGTCATTTGTCTTACAAACATTTTTACTGTTGAAGTATTATTACCAGTTTGTCCCAGTTATTGTGGCTGATTGTATCAATGGAAGTATCACTCCAGCTGTTTTGGATGGGAGTGATAAATGTTACATAATTTAATCTCAAGGCCTTTGATAAGCATATTACAAAAGAAATCAAAGCCAGGGATTTTCTTGCATTAAATGGAAGTACTACCTGCAGAAATATTAGTCATACTCAGTCACTGTCCATGGGTTTTATTTCCCAGTGTTTCTGGCTGCTGTGGTTGGTGTTTTCTTCCTATTGAAGCACGCTGGAACAACTTGTATTTCTCCTACATTCATGCTGCTAAGTACTCAAATGCTTTTGGTAGGAAGGGCAATACATTCAAAATGCAGATCTTCTGGTCACTTGGCAGATACTGAAATAACTTACCACAACTTGCTTTATTTTGAATAACAAGTTTATTTTTTAAAGGCATATAGACAATAAACAAAGTAAACAATTAATCAGAGTACTAGAATTGTTTTATTAAGGTCCAGTCTCTAAACATTTTAGCTCAATAATCATCATCTTCATCAGAGTCCATTACTTTTCTTCTGTTGAACTAGGGGGAAAATTAAATGAATGTCATAACATATTTAATAAAGCATAACTCAGACTTTCTGAGAAGAAAAATTTCTACCCACTCAGGACTGTGTGTCTATTTTTTTTTTTTTGTGGTGTTGGGGACAGAACCCAGGGTCTCATGCATGACAGGCAAATGAGTCACATCCCCAGTCCTATGTCTTTAAAAAACAACTTCATGAGCAAAGAGGGCAGCAGTTGGGGGACAGGAACCTTAAACATTAAAACCTCAATAAATAAAGTTTCTTCCAGAACTTCCATGTGGGAAGCCATCTATGAACTATGTGTGAACTAAAACGATGTTGAAGCCATTAGGCTAGAAAGCCTGGTATCAGGAACTCCCAGCAACAATCCTGCTGATTTGAGAACGCCTAGTTCATGTGGCGTCCTACCTAGCTCTGTCACAAGTTCAGTATAGCATCAGAGATGGGACGACCACTTAGCTTCATTACAAGTTCAGTATAGGATAAGAGATGGGATGACCCACTAGAGTCATCACACAGCCTCTAGGAGATGGGTGTGGCTTGCCAAAATGCCAATCAACCCGTTTACTGCAAGCCCCCTGCCACACTGAGAATCGAGCACCAAGCACCAAGACTCCTCCGGCTGAAACCTTATCCCTGCCTTTGATGTACTCCTCCTTAAATAAAGAGTATCCTCCTGTTTCAGTTGTTCAGTTCCAGCTCTTATTAGGACTGGAAGGCCTATCAGGCACCCCCCCTTTTATCTAATTTCTGGCTCTGCCTTTATTTCTTAATAATTATTTCAGACTGAGCAGGAATGTACCCTAATGGGGTGTGCTGGTCACCCCACAATATTTCCATGTTATAAAACTGCCTAAATACTGAAAGATATTTAGATATGGCAGTTGTATATTCAACCCTTAACATTTAATGTATCAACCTTTTCATTTGCAGAAACTTACTTTAACTGTTGTTTTCTTTTCTGTTTGTTGGCTTACTTTTTCAAGGATTTCTATTAAGCCTTGTTCTGATACCTAGGATAATCAGGAAAAAAAAAAGAGACAGAGAGAGAGAGAGAGAGAGAAAAGAGGAAAGGAGTGAGTTAGGGGGTTAGAACTACTGGGTTAAGTTCCAACTAAATTGGCTTTGCTATATTCCTCAGTGGGAGAATAGATAATATTCACCAAACAGCTCTTCAGAAAAGTTCAAAACAAACATATTTATAAGAACATCTTTATCATCACTAGTAGACAATGAAAAATACACCACTGTGTTGTCAGGGGAAAGACATTCTACCTCTGCCCATGAGAAGCTTAAACACAACCTTGGAGGAAACACCACCCTCAAAAAGATTAACAGGTTGTCTTTCTCAAATGCTAGGCGCCAAGCGCTCTACCACTGAGCCACAACCCCAGCCCGAGGGAAGGTTTTCTTAGTTGTTCTTAGTGTAAAGGGCTAAGAAAGCAGCAGGTGGAACTTGAAAGAAGGCTAGGCTTGCCAGATGATCCCCACACCTCATGGCCTTTCAGCAACACAAATGATAATCAAAGGATTAAAATCTCTCCTCATTTGCAAACAAAACCTAACTTCTACCTAAACAGGTAGTATTTTAATTGGTATTATTGACAAGCCTTGTTTCCAGTGCAGGAAATAATTTAAGTTAAGCTAGCTAACCCTAAGTCATTGGGTCACACAGACATCAGCAAGGTTCCACAGCAATGTCAGGAAAGGAGAAAGCATAGCATTTCGAGAAAGGTAATTATCTTTTAGAACTGATGACTGTTTTATCCTTTAAAAAATTCTTCACAGGAGAAAAAAACAAAATCCCACAAATTTTATAATCGGATGAACAGTAAATTGACCTGGGGAAGCCATGTTTTGATAAAGCAGGTAAGAGTGGGTAAAGTTCCCTTAAGGTAGGCCAAGCTCACCTTCCCGCTGAGTTGTCCATATCTTGCCAACTGTATAAGATAATTTTCTACTGCTTTAGTTTTTTCAGGCTTTACAAGGGCTAAATTACTTACTGTAAAGAAAAAACATACAAAAAGACATCAAAACTAAATGTACTCATATTTATATTACACCTTAAAACTACGCATTGACGTTTCCAAAGCAGTTCACAAGCGTGTATTGTTTCCAAATCAGAGAAGTAGGTAGGGCACACAATGGCTACTCCTTTTAAAGCCAGAGTTCACCCATGTCAATCACAGTTGTACAGCCAAGATTAAACTTGGGTTCTCAGATATTAAGCCCCATACTGTCTTGTTTCTTAAAATGACTGCCTTCTGAAAAGTAATTTATTTATTACTATGCATATAAAATGGTGGTGATCATCTACAGCTATCTGTCCTTTCTGAACTCAAATTGAGCTTACATTTACAACACAGAAGATACAGAAGATAGTTCCTTCTGATTGGCTAATTTTTTTTCTATGTATTTTTTTTGTTTTATTATAAAAAACTGCATGTACAATAAAACCAAGACTATCACCAATTCTTAACTCCCCATCACCCATGTCAAACAGGCAACAATTTGACTGTTTCTACTTTAGAGTTGTTTTCTACCAATTTTACTGAAAAGACACTTGGAAAAGATTTTCTTGCTAAGAAGAGAAGTAAACTGGCACTTTTAACAATTCAACAATTCAAGGAAATTTTCTCTAGGTTTATAAATTTCACACTTCTTACAAATTAATGTTATCTCAAGTATTTTTAGGTAAAACAAACATTTACTCTAGAGAGCAGAAACTGCATATGTATCTCCCCAATCAAGCCAATTTTATGGAAATATCTTAAAGGAAATGGAAGATGCTTACACCTGGCCCGGGCTGACTGATCCAGAACTTGGGCCAAGATACTGTTTCTCATTTCTGCTTCCCTACAATAAAAACATAGGTCAAGCAAAATTAGAACTAGGCTGTCAGCATAGCTACAGAACATACATAAAAAGTAACAAGATGTTTCTTACGATAGACACCTGTGATACACAGACTGTGCTGTGGTGTTTCTGCCTTCAAATAGCCAGCTTTGTTATATGGTTGTAACCCTACCATGTTTTCAGGAAACTTAAATATTTTCATAATTAGAGAGAAGTTTCAGTTCAACCACGTTTACCAAAATTTTAAGTACCTATTGTGTGACAGGTGCTTGAAACTTAGTGGGATTTCAGGCAATGAGAATCACCAATTAATTGATTAATCTGTGCCGTTTCCAGGGACAGGAAGGACATATTAGAGATAAGCTCAGGCCCAGGGAGGACATATTAGAGAGACACAGGTAACCATGGCCGAGCTAAAACCAAATACAGTTGCTCAGGGATCTCAGTTCTATTTTTGAGTGGAGAAGGGTAGTAAGATTATAACTCTGCAACTACTCTTGCTTCTTTCTATATACTCAAAGAGGAACTAGTTCATATTCGTAGGGCAATGGTTTCAAACTTTAATGTAGTAAATTAATTTTTTTTTTTCCCTCAAGTGAAGCCCTTCAGGGAACCTGAAGGGTGTACTCTGGCTGCATTAGAGAGCTGGGGCTTGTTATGCCCACTATTCATTTCAACCTAGGAGCCCTAGAGATTAAGGAATACAGTTTAAAGATTATTTCCCTAGGCCTTACAATTCCTGAGTACTTAAAATCTGCTATTAAGTAATAGTAGTATTATATTTCACTCAATCTAAAATGTCACCCATTGTAAGATGCACCATAGTTTTATGTATTTTTAAGAGTTTTTTTTTAAAAAAGGTACTCTAGTTTATGGGTCTCTTAAGAGACCCCCACTCAAAGCTGGTGTCAAAAAGCAACATGCATGGGCTGGGGTTGTAGCTCAGTGGTAGAGCACTTGCCTAGCATGTGTGAAGTGCTGAGTTCAATCCTCAGCCCCGCATGTAAATAAACAAAGGTCCATCAATAAGTAATAAAAATATTGAGGAAATAAAAGCAATATGCTCTCTAAAAGATAAACAAGAAATAAGCCTGCCGTGCAACAGCAAGGAATTCTTCATGTATCTGACCCAAACTGGAGGAAGGAAAAAATAAAAGTTCCTCTGAAAATTTGAACTGCAAGCTTTAGTTTTATAGGGTTTCTGTCTGACTTCACACTATGAGGCAAGAGGGAGAAGAGAACCTCAAACAAAATTTTAAAAGATCTCAGATTTCAAATGAACCCAAGAAATGGCAGAAGTAAAAGTAAATACTCTGTGGAAGAATCCAGGATAAGAGCAATCAATTATAATGCATTCCAATTTCAAATGTTAAAATGTGAAAAAATGTACTTCTCAGAACCAACAAAATTTGAATAGTTTTACTTCCTTCATATCACTCAGTGTTTATCATCTGCCTTTTTCTAAACCCTCACTTTCTTGCCTACCTCTAAAAACCCAATACAGTGCCTGACCCAAAGCAAATGACAAAGGGAGTTTAAAAGGTAGCATGAGGACAGGGGGGAAGAAATCAGGAGTTGTTCAACTGATTAAAGTTATATGAGATGAAAAACTTCTAGAGCTATTGTACAACAATGTGAATACAGTGACCACTACTGAATAGTATACTTAAAAACAAGAATAGCTGCAATAGTAAATTTTATTACTTTTTTTTACCCCAAAAGAAAAAAATAGGCAGTATGATGGGGCAATCAAATATTCATTTGATTAACTTGGCCGATGAGGTGCTCTGCCTTCTGCTGGTATAAAAATGAGACTAGTATAATGGGTGATATTTATTTTTATTATTTTTTTAAACAGATGATATTTATTGAAGTGTTCAACTGTCACAACACACGAATGAAGTAGTTCTATTATGCTGTGTTAAGGCAGTCACAGTTTAGCAGATAAACAGTAATTGCAATACAAGGTATTAAATGTGTATTTAACAAATAATAAAGATTCCTCGATGACAATTCATGGCAAAAATCACTCGGCCAGGACAAGATTCAAAGCTTATACACCTGTAAACATTTCGGGGTGGGGTGGGGGTTTGGTTCATTTGGTGAAACCACCTCTCAAGAAGTTCAGATGTCCAGCCCATCATACCTGTGTTTTGCTTCTTGTTGTGCTGCATCGCTAGGATCCTGAAAAAAAAAAAAATAATAATTTTTCATTGAGTGTAATTTCACAAAGGGGTAAAAACAGAACCCATTCTGCTTTCTTTCTGATACATACTAGAGACAGCTTTTCTAATAACTAAAACCTGGGCTCAGAGAAGTCAGCGAGATAGTCTCCATGAACTTCTGAAGTCACAACTCATAGAACGTTTGAGAACACAGACAACCCCGGTTTCCTACACTACGCTTCCTAAAACGTGCCTCCGAATTAGGGGCACTGATGATGCCAACCACCTCGCTCCATCCCTAACCCGCTCCTCCCCGGCTTCACGCTACAGGCAGGCGCTCCTCCAGCCCCGGCTCCCGGAGATGACCAGTCGGCTGTCCCGCTCCGTCGGGGCTGGAGTTCGCCGGTCCCCGCGCCTGAAACACAGCGGGCCCTCAACGGAATGCGGGGTACAACTCAATTCTAGAAAAACTGGGTTCCGATCGGCGGGCACCGCAGTGGACGGTGGCCAGTCCCGAAAGCCGAGGCTGAGGGAGGGGCGAGGCTAAGGTTTTCCCCCGGGCGAACCTCCGGCCCAGCGAACCCCTTCTGGGGCTGCCAGACCCCCATCCAGAACCACCGCGCACGTGCTCGGCGCCCGCCCGGGACCCCGCGACTGGGAAGGGGCCTCGGCGGCCCCGGGGAAGGCTACGACCCCGCGGGGGCAGCGGAAAGGTCCCCGGCCCGGGAGGCTAACGCCCGAGCGCTCAGCCGGGGGCCGTGCGCTCCACCCCAGGCGAGGGCGGCGCCCGCACGCTCACCCCGTGCTTCGCCTGCAGCTCGGCCAGCCTCTGCTTCCTCAGCGTCTCCAGCTCCTCGTCCGCCATGCTGCGGCCGACGGGGGTCGAGCAGCCGCCGCGCTCTCGGGCCCACTCGGAGCGATCTCGAGCCCACTCTAAGGGATCTCCGCAGCCCCTGGGCGCGATCACGACGCTCACTACTGCGCAGGCGCCCTCAGCGCCCAGGCCTCACCAATCCAGCCCCGAGCACTCAGGGCGCCCGGGAGAGGCCCGATTCCCCGATCGCTGGCTGCTGGGCTTGGGCGGGTGGCCGGATAGCGGTATGGTGGGGAGGGACCCTAGACTGAAACCCTCCGCGGAGCCTGGGGACCCAACCTCCTTGCCCGCATTCCACGGCTGTAAATGTGTGGATGTCGGCTGGGAAAAAACTGGACTGCGATTTGGAAAAAGAAACTAATCTAGATCTATGGCTTCAACAAGGAGAATAATTATAGGTGGAATTTGTTGGGGGACCTTTAAAATGCTAGGCTCATCGTATCACCATTTATAGACGAGGAACCAGGGGTTCAGAATGGCAAAGTGGAGTGATGGAAATGTACTGGAACTGCATTGTGGCGATGGCTGCACAGTTCTTAAATGTGCTTTAAAAAAAAAAAGTTGTACACTTAAAATGGCTTGGAGTGACAGTGGGAGGACAAAGTCGAAGACACTCGCGGAAGGCCCCCCGAGCCACTGGACAAATTAAACTTGGAGGCTGAGAACCAAGTTGGAGATAGGGCAATGGGATGGGGGGTGGTGTCACCTCCCAGGCCCTCTCTCCGCTGGGAGGATGCTGGGACTGGCTTCCGTGGCCCAGTGAACTTTGGCGGTGTCTTTGGAATGAGGACTCCGGGAAGAGGGAGGATACTCAGTTCCCTAACCCGGTAACTCATGGAGGTAATCCGTGTTTGGAGTTTTAATTGTGGCAAAAGTATATAGAACATAAAGTTTATCGTTTTTTAAGACAACTTGTTTTTTTAACCTTTGTTTTATTTTTATGTGGTTCTAAGGACCAGTGCCACACACATGCTAGGCAAGTGCTCTACCACTGAGCTACAACCCCAGCCCTGCTTTCATCGTTTTTAAGTATACAGGTCAGTGGCATCAAATTCATTTACACTGTTGGGCAGCCGGCACCACCATCTCTAGAACTTTTTTTTTTTTTGGGGGGGGTTGGGGGGGAGTATCAAGATCCATCTCGGGGACACTCAACCACTGAGCCACATCCACAGCCCTACTTTGTATTTTATTTAGAGACAGGATCTCACTGAGTTGCTCAGGGCCTTGCTTTTGCTAAGGCTGGCTTTGAACTCGAGATCCTCCTGCCTCAGCCTCCTGAGCTGCTGGGATTACCTGCTCATCCCAAACTGAAACTCCACCAAATAACTATTTCCCCCTCCTCCGACCCCTGACAAACATCTTTCTACTTGTGGTCTCTGTGAATGTACCTATTTATACACTATTTGTCCTGTGACTGGCTTATTTCACCTAGTGTGATGTCTTCAGGCTTCATCCATGTTGCAGCACATATCAGAACTTCATTCTTTTTGAAGGCTGAATGTATTCCATCCTATGTATGTATACAATACATTTGGTTTAAAAAGTTCATCCATCAGTGGACCCTGGTTGTGCCCATCTTTTGGCTATTGTGAATAATGCTGCTGTGAACTTGGATGTACAAGTATCTGTACAATTATTTTGGGTAAACCTGATTCAGTGGTGGCAGGCCTTTAATCCCAGAGTATGGGAAGGCTGAAGCAGGAGGATCTCAAGTTTGAGGCCAGCCTCAGCAACTTATTAAGTCCCTGTATCCAAATAGAAAATCAAAAGGGATGGGGATGTAGCACAGTTGAAGAGTGCCCTGAGTTCAATCCTTAATACCATTTAAAAAAAGGGAAAAAAAAAATCTGGTACATATACAGAATTGGAGTTGCTGAACATGGTAAACCTATGTTCAAAATTTTGAGGAATTTTTCCACAAGGGAAACACTATTTTACCTTCTTATTAGCAATGCACCAAATTCCAATTTCACCACCTTCTCACTTATTTTCTTTTGTTTTAAATAGCCATCCTAATAGGTCCGCGGAGGTTATGTTGTGATTTCAATTTGCCTTTCCCTAATGATTAGAGATATTGAGCATCTTTTCATGTGCATGTTAGCTATTTGAATATCTTCTGTAGAAAAATGTGTATTCAAGTCCTTTGCCCATTTAAAAATAGGGTTTCTTTTCTATTAAGTCATAAGAATTCTTTACATATACTGAATATCAAGCCTTATCAGATATATGATTTTCAAATATTTTATTCCATTTCATGGAATAAAATATTTTTGTGTCTTTTAATGCACAAAATTTTAAATTTTCATTTAGTCCAAATTATCTATTTTTTCTTTAATTGCCTGTGCTTTTGATGTCATATCCAAGAAATAACTTTCAATTCTAATGTCATAAAGATTTTCTCCTATGTTTCCCTTTTCTTTTTCTTTTTTTTAATATTTATTTTTTAGTTTTCGGCAGATACAATATCTTTATTTGTATGTGGTGTTGAGGATTGGACCCAGCGCCGCGCACATGCCAGGCGATCATGCTACGGCTTGAGCCACATCTCCAGCCCTCCCTTTTCTTTTTTTTTAATATTTATTTTTCATTGTAGTTAGACACAATATATTTTATTTATTTTTTTTAATGTGGGCTGAGGATCGAACCCAGGGCCTCGCACATGCTAGGCAAGCACTCTAACTGCTGAGCCACAACTCCAGACCCTTGTATGCTTTCTTGTATAGAATCTTTTGTTTAAGTCTTTGGTCCATTTTTGAGTTAATTTTTGTATGGTGTTGGGTACAGATCTACTTTTTTTTTTTTTGCATCTGGATAGTCAGTTTACCAGTACCTTTGTTTAAAAGGCTGCCCTTTCAGGCTAGGATTGCAGCTCAGCGGTAGAGCGCTTGCCTTGCTGGATTTGATCCTCAGCACCACATAAAAAATCATCCCTGTACAACTGAAAAAAAAAAAAAAAAAGGCTTCTCTTTCCTCATTGAATATTGTGGCATCCTTGTCAGAAATTATCTAAATGTATCTTTAACAGTTTATTTGTAGGCTATTTTATTTTTTGGTCTATGGTCATCTCAGTAACTAAAAGATGAAAGTAACCCAAGTGTCCATGCTGGTGCCACAGTGTTTTGATTACTATAGCTTTGTAGTAAGTTTTCAAATCAGGAAGTGTGAATCCTCCTACTTTTGTTATTTTTCAAGATTATTTTGTACTTCAGGTCTTTTGGGATTCCATATAAATTGTAGGATATATTTTTTTCTATTTTTGCAAAAAAAAATAGGGAATTTGGGTAGAAATTGCATTAAATGTGTGTAATATTATTTTAACAATATTGTCTTCTAATCCATGAACATAGGATGTCTATTTAATGACTTTTTGAATTTCTTTCAGCAATGTTTTTTGATTTTAATTGTAAAAGTCTTTGACCTCATTGATTAATAATTCCTAAGTATTTTATTCTTTTGATGCTATTACAAATGGAGTTTGTAATAGCATCAAAAAAATTTTTCTTTTCAGATTGCATATTGTTGCAACTAATTTTTGTATGTTGACTTTGTATCTGATATTTTGATGGATTTTTTTAATGCTAACAGTTTTTTGGTGGACTCTTTAGAGTTTTCTACATATAAGATCATATCTCTGAACCTAGATAATTTTACTTCTTCCCTCCAATTGGGTAGTTCATTTCTTTTCTTGCCCTATTACTCTGGCTAGGATTTCAATTACTGTGCTGAATAGAAGTGGTGAAAGCCAGCATCCTTGCCTTATTCCTGATTTTAGAGGAAAAGCTTTCAGTCTTTCACCATTGAGTTTGATATTCCTGGTGTTTTTTTTTTTTTTTAATATGTGGCTTTTGTCATACTTAAGTAGTTTCCTTCTTTTCCTAGTTTTTTGAGTGCTTTTATCATAGATGTGTATTCAATTGTGTCACATCCTTCTTTTTCATCAGTTGAGATGATCACATAGTCTTCTCCTTCATTCTGTTAACGTATTGTGTTACATTGGCCAATTTTCACCTGTTGAACAATCTTTGCATTCCAGGAATAAATCTCACTTGGTCATGGTGAGTAAGCCTCTTGGTTTTCTTGTTTTTGTCTGGCTTTGGTATTGGAATAGTGAGTTAGGAAGTATTGCCTCTTCTTTTATTATCTGGAAGTATTTGAGAAGGACTGGTGTTAATTCTTCTTTCAATGTTTGGAAGAATTTACCAAAGAAACCATCTGGTTCTGGATTTTCTTTGTGGTACTGGGGATTGAACCCAGGGCCTTGTGCATGCAAGGCAAGCACTCTGCCAACTGAGCTATATCCCCAGCCCTTATTTCTTCTTGATTTAGTCCTGGTAAGCTATGTGTTTCTAGGAACTTGTCCGTTTCTCTAAGTTATCCAATTTTTCATAGTACATTCTTAAAATCTTTTACAATGGGTAGTGAAATATCCCTTCTAATTTTTCCAGGTTTTAAAAATATAATGTTTTAAAATGAATTCATGCATTACAGGGAAGAGAAAAACCCAAGAAGCAAAGAACAAAGTCTTCCAGTCACAAGCAACTCAGTGGGATATGTCTTCCTAGTCCTGCATATATAGACCCAACACCCCATTTTGTGTGATAGAGATTGTAGTTTTTATTGTGCTTCTCCACACATCATGAATATTCAGCAATTCAAAATCCCTAAACTACGTGAGTATTCTTGATAACCAAGAATATACTATACCAACTCAGTCTGTTAGAAAAAAAACTATAATTCTGCTTTTCTTTGGACAAGAATCTCACTGAAAACAGAAATGGCAACAAGGCTGTAGATAGATGTATTAGCAGTGTTACAATTAAAATACTATGTTCTGCTAATGCTCAATTCAAAGCGAGACATAAAGCAATGAGTATACCAAGCATGATTTTCTCAGAGTTCTTTATCTAACTTATACTAAAATATTAGTATGAAGACATTTCTCAGTGAGTTAAAATAGTCCTATGACAGCCAGCAGATGTACACAATGTCAGTGGCTCTTATCCAAATGTAAATCTATGCACACTTGCTCCCATCTCTCCCTGTGTGCTTCCTTTTGCCCCTCCGCAGCAGCCTAATGAACAAGTCCTGATACACACTGCCCAG